AGAGAGAATGAGAGACAGAGAGCATGAGAGGGAGGAGGGTCAGAGGGAGAAGCAGACTCCCTGCTGAGCAGGGAGCCTGATGCGGGGCTCGATCCAGGGACTCCAGGATCATGACCTGAGCTGAAGGCAGTCGCTTAACCAACTGAGCCACCCAGGTGCCCCTTTTTTTCTTATTTCTATTTCTAGGTTCTCAATGCTAAAGAGAAAGGCTATTGACTTTTATGTATTTATCTTCTATCTAGCCATCTTACAAAGTTTTATTAATACTGTGCCTTTGTCCTTGAATCTGTTGGGTTTTCTACATATACAATCATAGCAGTAGCAAAATATATAATTTTATTTTTCTCAGTATTTATAGGAGATATTTCTCATTTGCTAAAATCTTTAAAGCTTAGAAAAAAAAAAAAAGAATGGCAATAGCAGATATCTCTAATTTCTCATTATAATTAAATTAACTTTTTGCAACTTATAATACCAAAAGTTGTTGGTTTGGGGTAAATAATTTTTACTATAATTGAAGAAATTTTTTTTTACTTTTGTTTTATTTAAAATCTTTAAAAAAAAAAACAGCTGCTGAATTTAATCATGTTCCTTTCAGTGACTATTGATTTGATTGCCTGATTTTTTTCTTTTAATTTATTTATATGTAGGATTATATAGATAGTTTTCTGATATTGAGCCACCTTTGCTTTTTTGTGCATGTGTTTACTTGCTATATCTGTAAATTTCTAGGGAAATATTTACTAAAATGTGTCAAATGTTAATAACTATAATTTAAAGGGTACCAGGATCTAATTAATCTGGGAAACACCCAACCAAACAGAGTTAAATGGTACTTCCCAAAACTGTTAAGCTAATGTATATTGTCAACCTACAAAAGGAGATAAGAGTACAAAGTGTTTCGTGAACTTTACTTGACTGTCTATCTTTCATGAGCCATCCTATGGGAGTAGATTAGAGCAGAACAGAGTTTGGGAAATGCTTATATGGAGATTGTATACTAAGAACTGAAAATAGTTTTAGCACGTAAGACCAATGAAATTGTGAGAGAAGAGTTGATAAATTAAAAGCCACACTATAGGATGTCAAAAACAACTGGGGAGAAATAATTAACTAACATTTGTACCAATTATACTCACTTTTATTGTACATATTTTTACTTGGATAGGCCCAAATGTTTGGCATTATACAGATCCATCTTAGAGCATAGGGTGGTCCTGGGGCAGGATGTAGCCCCAGCTCCAGCCAATTGTCAAAATATAATTCTAGGAAGTAAACAGTTGCACCTATATCCTTCTCTACTATGTGGCCCATGGTATCATGACTATCATAACATGATGACACAGATGGACTATCACAACATGGCTTGCCCAAGGCACTCACCAATGACATATTCCACTCTGAAGAGATCCCTTCTGGGGTCATATGGACGATTGAAGTCAATCTGGATGAAGAAAGTCTGTCCTCTACGTACAATCAGCTTGTTGTTTTCATACTTGTCAGTGTGGTGGTCCACTTTATTGGTGTCCCATCTCTCCTTGAACAGGTGAATATTTGCGACATGAAGGTAGTCTACACATAAAGAAAACAATTGAGGGACACCACTGAGTAACTTTGATACAACCACAAACTCAAAAAACAAGATTGCTTTTCCTGATTCTTTAGGTATTGAGGTAATGTGGTCTGTTGGATTAAACTCTCTACAGGGGGTTAATAGATTTAAGAGTCATTCTCTTGTGACATTCTTGCCTTCAAAGAGGATTTTAAAAGCTTTCCCCGCTGTGACCTCACTGCATACCACAAGGGATAGACAGAGCAGTGCTGATGATGCCTCCCACATAGGTCTAGGTACAGAGAAACTAGGACCAGAGTTCAAGTCTACACATTCCCGGGCTCATGCTGGCTTTCATCATGACTATCACCTCACTATGTCACTACTTAGGAATAAGAAAGGGATAGCCATTTCAATTTTATCTTTAAAAAGGGAGGCATTAAATCTGACAAAGCCTCAAAGGGATGTTCCAAAGGTCCAAAGTTGACCTTTAATTCAAAATTCTCCTCTTCAGGTAGGGTCAAATACCCCTCCTTCTATAATTCTAAAAGTAGATCTGGTCCCTCAAAGGTAGGAAAGAAAAGAACAGGTGTGGAGACAAAATACTGACATTTCATTGAGATAGATATAACTGTTTCCACTTTGAACATGAAAAAATAAATCTTCACATTTCCACCAATCTGGAAGTCAACCCTGGTCTGATACAAAAATCTATAGGTCTTTCCTCTGGCTTTTGGAATTGGGAGGGTAAATGTCACTTATACATTTATTTGAGACATGACAGCACTGGATAAAGGTTAGATCTCCTACCTTTCTCCCATTCCTCTGCAAATGATCACTGAATATGGAGGTAACTCTGCCCATCTACACTGGTAGTTTGCAAGATCTAGTCTAGAGATAGATTTCTGCATGCACACTTGGAGTTGTAAAGGGGAATTAGGGAGAGAGGCTGGTGGGGGTACACTAGCCTTCTGCCTACCCTGATCCGGTCTGTTGCATGGTTTGCCCTCACAGCTGTGAATACAGTATACACAGAGCACAGCTGCTGAGCCTGTACTTATGCTGGAGCATCACCCGGAAAGACTCCAATGCCTTCCTTTGTGTTTACATGGGAATCCTGTGCAGGACAGTTGGTCCCCTCTAGCCTCATTTTTGTCTCATAGGCAAAACCAAGAAGTTGGGCTCATTTAGATACTCTCCACTTCTAAAGTTTAGGAGTTCCTGAAACACTCTTGATTAATTCAAAGTCCAGGTAATCCTGAGTTTGAATCCCAGGTCTCTTACTTACATAGGTAAGGGATGTCACCTCACAGAAGCTGAGTTTTCTCACCTTTCAAATGAGGCGACTAATACTTTGAGAATTTCTACAAAAATTCAATTACATAACAAGACAACAGCTCTGGCATGATGCCTGGCACATAGTGGGGCCATAGGCTTACTTGTGGCTAGCTTAACTGTAACTCTGATGGAGCCATTGTATATTTTACATGATGTGGTGTTCGGTGGGCTATTCTGACTGCAACATTACAGCCCAAAGAAGTGCAAGATACAGTTCTATTTTTACCCCATTGCAGAACCCTGAACATGGTCCCCTAAAGGGCACTTTCCTTCCATTATGCTGTGGGTGGAAGATGTTTAATTCTCTAGACCTCTCTCTTCCAAGCTGCCTTTCCCCTAAGTTCTCTGGTCTTATTAAGGTCACAGTCCCTAGTGTTAAGTCAGCTTCAGAAAGAGCTGGAGACTCATAAATGTCTTAGTTGAAAAGGACCTTAGTAATCAACTCATCTGGTCCTCCTTCTTAGCACGGTGCCTTTCAATAATGTTTTTGTTTTGTTTAAATGTCTAAAAACTGAATCCTCAGAAATGGGTTTAATCAGGTCTCCATTCATCAGCACCAATGGAAGGAATGCACTGATATTATAGCCTCACAGAATCTCTGAGGGCAAAGGTACTTTCTAGACCATCTGGTAGACCTGCTATGTACTGCATGAAACATCTTGAAAGCCCAAATGCTTGGGCTTTTTGTCTTCATCTGAACAGGAAACACACTATCTCACAAAACAAACAGTCCATTTTTAAACAATTTTAATTATTTGAAAAGCCCTCTTAAGATGAACTGACATCTGCTTCCTTGTAATTTTTCTAACCATGGATCTTGGTTCTGATTTCTGGATAAATATAGACTACATTCTATTCATTTCATCTGGTACTCCTTAGGTATATAAAGGCTTCTATTCCTTTGACTAAAACATTCTCCATTTCCTCAACTGTTCTTTTCCAGAATTTTAACCCTCTACTATTTTCTGGAATGCATTTCATTTTATAAATTTTCTCTAGTTGTATTTTTCCTAGAATTAAGTACATTATTCTCGCTGTGGTATTTCCAATGAAAGACAGAGACTGCTACATCTTTCAAAACAAATAGCATATTTCTATTATTTCAATCAAAGATATCGTTAGTATTTTGAATAGTTTTACCTTATTCTTGATTTACATTAAGCATCTGTTAAAGCAAAAACCTTTAGGGTGGGGGGATGGGTTAGCCTGGTGATGGGTATTAAAGAGGGCACGTACTGCATGGAGCACTGGGTGTTATACGCAAACAATGAATCATGGAACACTACATCAAAAACTAATGATGTAATGTATGGTGATTAACATAACATAATAAAA